ATGGGTCAGAGAGCACTGTGCCGACGGGTTTGACGACGACCCGTTTTACCGCGCCGAAGCTCATGGCGTGGATCTTCCCGTGTCAATCCACCAAGGGGTGCACCCAGAACACCTCGAGAAGGGGACCGCGGGGATAATCGACTACTTCAAGAAGCAGCTGTTGTCGAAGTGGTTGAAGTCGACCAAGCTCCTCGTAGTGTGCTACGACCGCCAAGAACTAGTGCCGGCAATCAAAGGACACGAGCAGCTTGGGAGGACCGAGAAACTTGGAGAGTGCTCTCGGACCTTCGACCCGAAGTCAACGGATCCGGTTCCTTCGTTACAGTGTGGGTCATGGCTTCGAGCCGATGGTAAGGCGGCGCGGGACGGAATCGCCGCTAACCTGGCCATGCGCCTGCTGGCCGATGACGTCTGGACCAGCGACACCAAGCCCAACTGAATCGTCGCATTCTATGGCGTCGGAGGTGAACCTGGTCTGAGTGGTGATAATCACGCAGGTGTAAATGCCGAGGATGTAGGCCTCGATGGGGTCGGTAGCAGGATGGCGCTTGCAGAAACAGTACTACTCCTACACTTTCGAAACGGAACCGGCCCGATCCCTGACGTCGAGCGGCATCGTGGGCCAGACATCCGCGAGGCGGAGCTCTGCGTGATACACTTCATCGCCCGGGCGAAGGCGTACTGGGGCAAAAAGTTCGACAAGTGGGTCGTTTCATCAGAAGACACCGACCTATGGACGATCATTTTACTGGCGATGACCACTGGTTGGCTGACGCCTCGTGGCGAGGGGACGGTTGACTTGACCGTCCATTGGGTCGTGGGTGGCGAGACCAAATTCCTGTGGATGAACAGAAAGTTCGTCAGAATCTGCGAACTCCAGGACGGAAGCGAATCCGCGTGGCCGCCTTTGACCTTCAGAAGCTGGAGGCCCACGGACGCCGACAAGGTACGTCTGTTCGTCCTCACCTTCCTCGCGTCGGGCTGCGACTACCTCCCTGCAATTTCCGGGCTCCCGTTCGACAAGATGTAGGTGCTCGCTCTGAAGAGCGTGCGGACGGAGGGTTTGTTCGACAAGCCGTTGTTCTTCGAGGACCAGGACGGCTCGTGGGCCGTAGATATCGACGAATGCGCGAAACTTTTGGCCACACTGTTTGTCTACAAGTATGAAGCGGCGTTTGGCAGTGCTCATTTAACTCCTCGCCATCTGCTCTAAGGCGTCCACGCCGGCGTCGAGGACTACGTGAGCTTGATCCGCTACGCCATCCTCCAACTCCCCAAGAAGAAGACGACAGCCACCTGTCCGTCTTATTTTGCCTTACGCATGCAGGCAGAACGGGGTAACGCCATCTTCAGGTACTGGCAGAATGGCCTGAGGGAGACCATGCCGGCGACCGAGTTTGCCGGCAAAGGATGGGGCGTCGACCCACGAGGAAAGGGGAGCAACGGCGACGAACTCACAGCCGGGAACTGCGTGCTTCGGTTGTCCGAGTATTCGTACATCGGCCCTGACCGAAAGACAGTCACGTTGGCGTGCGGTTGCAATCCGGAAATGTACCTGTGCAACAGGTGCAGGTGCAAGGACAGGAAGTGCTCGCTCGCTTGCGGCTGCAGAGGTCTTTGCACCCTCCGTTGGGCGGTGCCGGCACCCGTGCGAGCAGGGGGGATGTCTGCGTCCCGTCCTACGGTGGATGCTTCTCAAACTGGGCCGATCGAGGGTGTCGCCCGACCCCAACCACCCATCGACACTCGACCACAGCCATCCGGGCTTGATGCCAATGCCATGGCACTCTTTGCCGCCTCTATGAAGCAGCACGAATCGCACGGAGCGGAACAGAACGACGAGGAGACGGGGACTACGGAGTCACCTGCGAGCAAAGGCGTTTCCTCCGGCGAGGCCGCGGATTCGGAGAACGACGAGCTGGAGGGCCCTGAGTCGGACGAGAACAGCGACGGTTCGGTCGGTGCACTCGACGACTTGATCAAGTTGGATTCCGACGAATCTGGCTCCAGCGATGGGGAATCTGACGTGTTGAGCGAGAAGAGCGTCGACCAGGCCTGGAGTGACGGAGACACAGATGATGGTGTTGGGATCTCGTACTCGACGCCTGGAACTGAGATCTGGCTACTACTTCAGGCAGGTGCGTGTTACGTTCATTGAGATACATGGCTTGGGGTTGGGGAGGTCGTGCCGGGCATTCTTGCATGTCACTTCTCCACGTCGTACCGAAAGATCGCTGTGTAATGATTTATTTTAACCTCATCTTTCAACGACACATTTCGCGCGTCGTTGGTGGTGGTTAAACAGGCCCGTGCTTCACTTTCGTTGGATGCATCCATCCATCAAATACAACGACCGGGGGGCACGAGATATCAGACGTAGGAACAGACGCCTATCGCTGACCAGCCGGCTAGAGCGCACGTTTTCGCCCGGCAAATTATCGTATATAGTTGCGCAGGGAGACGGACGGACGGGGGGTCTTTTTTGTTTCGGCCAGGCTGGGTGTCTGTTGTTTATTGGCGTGGTAATTTGTTCTTCGCGTTTTATCGGCAAACTCCCTGAAACCTATTGGGGGTGCTGTGTGCGTTCGGGCCTGTCTCGTTTGTACTGACTGTAAAAATGTAAGAAATTTGTTGTATATCCTTCAGTTCGGGCTTGATGTTGATACGTTTGGGCAACTCTAGGGGCCCGGTCTCGTGTGCGGTGTCCGTGTGTAAGTATTTCCTCGCGTTTTCGACACAACCAATGCTCAGTGCATATTCTTTGACTTTGAAAGAAATATTTCAATGTGCACATAAATATATGCCGACCGTGCCTGCGTGCGACATCAGATAGCACAACGCTGTTAGTGACCAAACTCACTGTTACTGTAGGTGCCGTGTTACTGTCGCTACTCCCTCCTCCTTTCTTTTGTTCTTCGGGAATCAGGAAGGTTACGCTGCCGTGTGAAGGACACGACTCAAGAGGCACAAGCGTTGTGTGTGCGGTGCAACACCAGCAGAAGCAATTTCAGTTCAAACCTAGCTGACGCCATTCAAGAGTAATCCACCTATAGTGCGTATTGCAGCACAATTCAAAGTGCTGTATAACCACCACATTAGCAGCTAACATGATCAGTGCTCGGTGTTGCCCGCACCGTGGCAGGGCATAAGCACGACGCCTGTTTGCGAACGCAAGATTTCAACTTCATCCCTGCCTACCTCTCGACCCTCTGCATTAATCGAGTTGAATTATCTTGCAATATACTCTTTGATGCTCAGTTCGTCTTGCTTCAAATTTTCGTGGTGATTGATCTCGTGCTGGGCGCGTTCTCGTGCTTGGTCTCTGCCGCGGGTGCACAGCACGCTGGTTACGCCGAGTATATACGAGTGGCACATTTTTTTGGGTAGAGGGCTGCGAGTTGCGCCGCCAAGTTTGAAGCCTACGGTGGACGGAAATCGGTGAAACTTGATTCCCTAGATAGCTGCTGGAATAGTCTACTGCTGTGAGCCTTTAGCCTTGGGTGGATGTACGCTTGTCACGATGCTCTCCTGTGTAAACCGATAGTTTTTGTTCCTTCGCCGTTTTTTTTTTTTCCAGCCGTGCAGCACTGGTCCCATGCATACGTGAGGCCATGTTTGGAAAGCTATACGGAACATGAATCTACGTCGCGCTTTTCTACATGCACCCGCGAGGGAGAATAGGGAAACTCGGAAAGCCGGCCTTATTCAAGTTAGTCGTACGGTGGTATTGTATAGTAATACGCAAACACGGATGGTGAACACCAGGAGCAACAGCAGCCCATTTGTAGTCTGAAAGGCATTCCTACTTGTACACGCGGATCTTGCCACGGGCGAATGGAGTAATTTTGGAGCCCTGCCACACTATGTAGGCCGCAGCTTTAAACATCTGAACCTACCATTCGAGGCCGAGGGTGGGTTGCAGCAACGGCGGCCGTGCCTTCTCGACCAGGTATCACCAGGCTATCCACGTACATCTGGTAAAGCAGTTGAACCATGTGGTACATGTAAACATGGACATGTTGCACCCGACCCGACCCGCTCAGGAGGCCAAATAATGTGGTGAATGGATTCACAAACGCGAAGCTGGCACTCACTTGTCGCTGCCCCACGGGGTGGATCCCCATAAGTGTCCATCCAGGAAACAACGCTGTGACCCTGAACGTCTGCCCCATGGCTGTCCACAGGACTTCAAGACTCCGTTAAGCTCGTTCGTTGCCCCTGTCGGCTCTCTCTCTGCAGGAGAGCCGGTGTCGTGATCTTCCCTAGTCATTCTCGCCAAGAACATAAACTTGGATTCTTCGCCTGAAGGATACAATAACCTAGTGAACCTTGCCTTGACAGCAGTCAGGCTGTGACTGACCTCTGACTAGCCTAGACCTCTGCCAAGGGCTGCAGCTGCAGGTAAAGAGGGGCAGGTGTGACCGGAGTGCTATGGAAGATGACAATATATAGAGCGCTCTATATATTGTCATCTTCCATAGCCGGAGTGCATATGGCATCCTGAGGGGAGGCGCGAATCGCTCTTTGCCGCTATGTACAATAACCTTTGCGGAGCCCCCTGCCTCGCGAAGCTGCGCGAAGTCAAGCAGTGTTATTCTGGTGTTATTGGGTTTAGGATTTTCTTTTTTTTATGCGGCGATGGCGCGCAGA